TTGTAGGGTGGTACGGTCTAATGTACACATATGAATACATATGCTATATGCGGAGTAGTCCGTATTTTGTTTACTTAATGGATTAAAAAACATACTATATACGTATGTATCTACGTATTAGCGAGATACTTTGTGGTACGGTTCAGTTTACTTTGCTGAAATTTCCATTTTTGCCTTGAAATGTTTGTGGTATTTGCGCTTTTATACGATTTTAGCAATCTCAGCGACTGTTTTTATTAAAACAAAGATCTGCAACTGTATAGTACAAATGTAAGTACATACTTCCGACATTACCTGACAATGTATAATTGTCAATTAGTTTATTTTGTAGTTGCATTTAGCTCCATTTGGCTATAGAGGTATGTACAGACGCATATGTACATATTTACATATATGCCAGTTTTACAGTTATTCGCAAAAGCCTCAAAACTTCTGATATATGCACATTTTTTATGTATTTAGTTGCCTTCAGCATGGCATTTCAATAATCTCTTAATGCTTAAGCTAACACACAAATAAATTACTTTTCCCACTGTGCGGTGCTAATGTCAACTTTTGAAGGTACATCGACCACAGCACAGGAAGTAAAATACATATTTATGAAGAAACTGAGCGAACGCCCAAAGTGGTGCTGCCGCAATTTTAAATAGCCCTTAATAATAACTGCGGTCTGAGACCGGCTATATGGTACTTTGATATAAATACCTACCGATCATCTCTTATTCTGCTGCACTGTGGTGGCTTAGCTAATGGTAAAAACCACAATTTCTATTTTGGGTTGTGACACGACATTGGGAATTCCGAACAGTAAGAGTTGTGTACAAAGTTCTCGGCACACAACGACCCAGTGATGCCTGGAGTTTCTTTTGGAGGAAGAAGAATATGAAGAGATCCAAACACTATCTAGATTTTCTCGATAAAAACGTTCTTTACCGATGGCTCCAAGACTAAAAATGTCACTGGACTTAACGACACTGGGCTACTTAAGATGCTTTAGGTATAATGACTAGCTTGAACTTGTGTGGGTAGCGGGACACTGTGATGTTCAAGGCAACGAAATAGCTGATGAATTGGCGAACTGCGGTCAGTGTTCAACTGGACTGAATCCAACTGTGGGACCAAGCATATCGGGAACTGTTGGTTACATCAGTGAGCTTCTAAATAAGCGTTATGCGAGCCATTGCAGAGTGAGGGAAACTTGAAAAATTATTTTTCGAAATTCTTTGCAGATGGCAATTTTCATCCAATTCGATAAATTTAGATACGATTTTTCGAGCACGACTTTCCAGTTTGAATTTCTTTATATTGAATAATTTTTGTGCAAAGTGCGGAGAAAGTAGGAATTTTGGAAAAAAAAAAATCGATTTTCCTGGGAGCCAATTCCCCTTCTATGAACCGGTTAAGTGAAATAAAAAATTCAAATTCAGTGAAAATTTAAGTTTTTCACTTTACCATTTTAGTTTATCTTTTTGTAAGCAACTTTCACATATTAAAAGATTTTCAATAAACACCTAGCAAGTAATTATTTGGTATATAATTGTTAGTAAAAGATAATGCTATTCGTTATCAAAAGATTGTGATTTTGAGCAAAATGACCACCCTTATCTTTTTCATAGCCAAAAATCTTTGCGATAAAACTTTTCACAGTGAAAACTTTTTGACAAATAAATTAATTTTCAGCATAATTTTATGTGAAATAATGAAAAATCTTTTCACTTCCAGTTTTCACAGAACAAGAATTGGCCGCCTATTCCAGTTAAAAAACTTTACATAATGAGGCGTATTCTGGCTTTCGTACGAATCGAAATTTTCGTATAGAAAATTATAAGAAAATGTCATGATTTTCGATTCGTACGAAAAAAATTCACCAACATTATTTTTTTTTTTTTGAATTTTTAGAAAAAGTTATATACATATGCGGTTTTAAAGCTCATTATAGAACATAAACCATATAGATCCTAATTTTAAACTCTACAAAAATTATAAAAAATCAGTTTTATTCAGAATGTTTTAAAAAAAATTCTAAGTATGCAGTTTTATAGCCCCTTGAATTTAGTAAGATAAGAATTTGCATTGATTTTTAATAATATTTTTTGCTGACGGTGCTAGGCATTTTCTTTCAGACAAAGAGTGCTCGAAAACATATAGACCAACTTTTTTTTTTATAAACGGAAACCGTGTACAAAGCAATTTCTCTGCAATTATCCGGCCTTCGCCAGACTGTGATGCTTTATTTGTGGGTAGTACTAAGTACTAAGAACCATAAAAAAAGTCTTGTGCAGAGAAATGTGTGAGTGTGAGTGTGAGCAAAAATTTATACACATTACTTTCGTGACAAAGAGATATCTAATGCCAAATGCCCAGTATGCACCATCCATGTGAATAAAGTTGGACTGAAATTCTGTTTATTTATTCACTGTTCTACTAATCTCTTTACTATTCCTCGAATAAATCTGCTACGCGGAAGCAGCTACTTAAAAAATAATATGAATCTTAATAAAACGCTCGAGGTCTTTACTTTCACATAACTCGGCCCCTGCGTGTAATTAAATCAATTTGCATTGCCTTGAAACAAACCAACAAAATACATAAATACGCGCAATGATACCATGGATAAACGCTTCAGAGCACACAGACAGTTGGCATATCAATAACAAAACCGCTACGACTCTAATTGCCATTAGGTGAGCTAGAGATCTTACCGCAATTGTGGCCTTGTCGCCACTAACGCCACGACCAGCAGCACACAGGGAGCTGCTGCCTTTAGTGTCGGGTATCTCACATTATCAGGAACGCCACTCTTATACATATCTAGATAGTAAAATTAAGACATTTTTCAACAATTTGTAGACACTCTGGTAGCGATTACAAGTGCGAATGAAGTTATGCAATTGTGAAAGCAGCGCCAACCAATGAGTGAATGAGAGAAAACTTTGAAAGTATCTATGTATACAAAATGTAGAAAAACCGCAACGATCGCATTGAGTTACTAAAGATGTGGTTCACAATATTACTGCAACAGGTTGTAATAAATCAGCAGCGGCAATTATTTGGAGAGGTAAATACGTTTGCATGTAAATAGGAGAATGCCGTAGTGTAAGGTATTTACATACTAGATGTAGCGTCACATTATTTACTAGAATTTCCGGTATATGGTTAGCGATAAGATTGCTAATAATAGTTAATTATAGTTCGATATATGATTTTATATTTTTCAATACATTTTGACTCGCCTAAAAGCGAAGCGTCGTGGGTGCACCTGTTGACAAAAAAAAAAAATGAATGAGGTGCAGTCGCCAATTTGATGGGGTTTGGTTAAGGCGTTTACACAAGTTATTAGAGATTTTTTTTAATCTAAAGCAATATTTCGGACATGGGTTTGTTGGTGTAACAATGTTCTTAAATTCAGTAACAAAGCAAATGAGGCAAAAACCAATACTAGAATGCATAGAAATATATAAAAAATAATATTCTAGATCTTCAATTCCAGTAACAACACAATGAACAAAGCTTTAAATTCTAAAATTTATAAATTTTCTTGGAAGGCGAAGCAGGGCTGCCTCATAACTACAGTCACTAGCAGTTTTCCAATGTGGAATAATTCTTAGATAGTATTCGCATACATTGGTGGAAACGAAATCTAATGCCGAATTTCCACTAGGCAATAAAATGATAAAAAAAATACATATATGTCATTTAATAAATAAATATGTACATAAATGCCGTAAGGAAATGCTCTCAATGCCAATTTTTATTAAAAAAAAACTACGATTATTTTTAATTTCAAAATTAAGTCCATAAAATGTTTCTCATTTAGCTGCGTTTCACCAAACTCATTTAAGTGGAAATTAATTTTAATTTAATTCTCGATTAATCCTTTCAGTTTCAATAAGCTCTTAATCTAAGTGATTAAAAATATGGCAGCACCGTGCTAGTAGTAAAAAACATCGTTAGTATACAAGCAAACAGCTGATATACAATATTGTGGTGTGTATATCGACTGCTGAGTGGAAGATCGACCTATCTCGGCAGCCAGTTCGAAAACGCCCTTTCTCAAAAAAACTTTTCAAGAACGCCCTATTTTAGAATTTTATTGAAAAACACCCTATCCAATTAGGTATATAATTCAGCTTCCGCCTGCTCCTCAGTGTTTTTTATGGCGGAGAAGCATTTAAGCTAAGAAAAATTCACAGTAATTGCCAATGCAAGATGACAAGTGAATGGATCCTGACATATTGGTAGAACACTCTGGCAAGCCATAAACGTTCAACGCTAACAAGACTTGTGCATTGTAAATGGATTTCTTACCGGACATTGTCTGATTGAATTACACGCACCCAGACAGGACGCACCTTCGTATGACTGCATGTATGAGGACGGGTTTCCTCTTCCTAAACTTTCCTAGTCATTACCCGGCTCTAGCAAAACGGAGAGCAAATGCTTTTGGCAGTTACTTCTTTAATAATCTCAATGACTACAAAGCAAGGGTAAGGTAATGGTATTTTTAGGTTTTGCGGGGTATGAACTGATAAGTTCGATCAATACGCGTCAAACGACATACCACTTGCTTTGATCGAACCAAAACTTGCTGGCTAATAGGTGGTAAAATTTCAATATTTTGAACCCCTTTAGCGTGCCCTAAAATTTTTTTAAAGGGGTGTCTCGCACAAAATTTAGCAGCTGATATTTTAAGGACCACCCTAATATGCATACATACATAACATTTATAAATTTGTACTCATGTTCTTATTCCAATTCGTACTCCTATTTTTTCTTGTCTTGCTACGTATTTACTAAATATAAAATACTATTTTTGTACATAATCGTTTTCGCATTCGTTTTCCTAGTTACTTCCAAAACAACATCCCTATTATTATATTATAATTATCGAGTTATGTTTATACATCACAAAATATGCTAATTTTCCACGGGCTGACTGCATTTCCGTTTTCATATACGTGTATCACATGTTACATTTCAAAATTTTTACTTTGAGGTACTCACTTTGTTTGCTGCTGTACTAAGTTATCCACTTTGGCCTGTAGGGCCTGCGATGTGGGTTGGTGAACTTCCCCAAGGAATGTGACGATTGATTTTGAGAGCGTCTCAATCTCTTTATGTGATGATTTAAGTTCTTCAGATTCGGCGAGTATTTCCTAAAAAGGTGAAAAGACAAAGTTGCACAAAATAAATACAGCGACTAAAAAGAAATTCGACTTCAATAAGAAAAAAATAATAATCTAAAATTGTTGACATGTCTTGTGAAGTGGGTACTAAGCGTATTTTAAACGAAATTGTAGGATTCTTACTTGACACTCTTTTTTTTCGAAGATGTAGTTAACAACAGTGATGCGCAAAATTGTGTTTTCTAAATACGAATTACTACAAAAGTATTTAGGTACTTATTTGTGTTGTAAAAAACCAAGAACTATGTACCCAAGTATCTTCAAGGGCACTAAATACCGAGTATGATAGTAGGTATTTGCATTAAGTGCGCTAAATACCTAAGGTATTGAAATATATTTACTAATTTTCACAGCACTGAATGCTATTTACGTAACAAAATACCGCGTTATTTTTAGCTTAACTAAATATTGAATAGAATAGTAGTTTCGAAATAGTTCCGACAAAATCCCTAAAACCCTGGAAAATTCGAAAACTTGGGCCGAAAAATGTAACACAAACGATCCCGAAAATTTCTGAAAATAACGAAATGTCTCAAAAAGATCTCAAAATTTTTTTGAAAAAGATCGCGAAAACTAAAACAAGAATAATCCCGAAAAAGAACGTTTTGACGGGAAAAATCTGAATTTGTTTTAGGAAAACTGAAAAAATCATCAGACTTCTTTTCCGCTGAGTTAAGCACATGCCATGAGCATTCGTTGCTTATTCATTTCCAATCTTTTAATTTTATTGTAAATCTCCAAAAAATAAAGTATAAACTACTGACCACACAGTGCAACAGCGCATTTTTGGGGGCGGAAAGCAAGAATCCCCAAATCGCTTACTTGCCAAGAATCCCGGGATTTTCGAGACCTTAAAAAGGGATCCCGGGAGAACGTACACTATGGTGGTCCAAAAATACACAGGAAAATCAACTTTTTGCTAGAACAAAAATATTTCCTTACAAAAATCTTCCAACAATAGAATTGTGATGCATTTTTTACTATTAATATTTTTCCAAAACATGCTTAATTTAGCTACGAACACATAAAATAATTAATTTTTGTATATAAGAGATGACATTATCGGCTATGAAAAAAGTATTTACTAAAATTTTAAAGTTTAATGTGCATTTTAAAAATTATTGTTTGAAGATTCCCGAAGGAATATATTTTCATTCGATCAAAAAACGGTTTTAAAGCAATTATACGAAAAAATGTATTTACCCATATGTATGGAAAATTTCAAAGACGGAAAAAAAATTTTGTAGAATCTTAATATACACTAAGGTACTTAAATCTAATTAGATTAAATTAAAAATCTTATCATAAAGTTGTCTCCGAACCAAATGCGAAGGCGGAATTTCGTTCAAAAATATATCATAAAGACCTTTCTTTTGAAAAAAAGTAAACTTTAAAAAACTTCCTATTACATTTTTAAAACTATGTATAACTATTTAGCAAGGGTGCCACATGGCGTATGCGAAATATTTATTTGCACAAATCTGTTAATACGTTGGCTAATAGCATTAATGTAAGTACATATGTACATATGTAAGTATGTACTATGCAAATTACATTCATTAGTATTTTGGTTTATCGGTAAAGGAAATCACACTATGCGAAATTGTACGATTCATATAAGATTTGTAGATCTGCCATGAAGAGTATCAGCACATCTTCTGCAAAAGCTATGAGTTTGCCACGAGTTGCCATGCGCTTTTACAAAATTTGAAATTGGTTGCTTAATTCAAATAATTGTATCTAAGCAGCTAGATCTAATAGTTATAAAACTATATTTTTCAATTAATTAAGATGTTCTTGAACATTAATTTGACTCATGGCTCTTTCAACACAAGACCACGAAATTTGGGGTTAGTCAAATAAAAACTAAGTATTGCAAAGTAGCATCATACACAACACTTTGTAGATACATACATAAACATCGCCTCATACTAGTGTCCGTTTTTTTTTGCAGCAACTCAGCATCATTTAAATTAGCTGTGACTTTTTTTGGCAAACGTAGGTATGTACATAAGTACATGAATGTACACTAGGGATGTTAATTTTTTCGCTTTTTACGATCCCGGTATTTTCGGGATGTCATTATCACAATCCCAGACTAATCCCGGGGTTTAGATATTCATTACTTTTCAACAATTTAAATCGAAAAAAATGCTTATATTTCTCCTATGTACCATAAAAAAATGATAAATAAATGGGTTTGAAACCTACATTTTATTTAAAGTGGCGTTTTTACTTTTTCTGTCTGACATCAGGATTTATTTTACAGGACTTGGTAATTTCAAAGGTATGATTAATTTCAAAAATTATTTAAAAAATTCAATGCAATGTGGAATAAAAATAATGGTACCAAATGAAAAAGGAAATTTTTATGAATTTAAAGAACATATAGGTAATTTTTTAAGCTACGAAATTCGAGGATGTTATCGAGTTTATATAAGTCCCTAACATATAATTTTTTCAAAAACAAATTTTGCGAAATTACAAAGATAAAATTTTAAGAGGGTATTTTCAATACTTATCAGCCCTTATGTACCAAAAAATTTAATCTGATATTTGGCCCATGGTTTCGCGAATATATTGATATTTGTGTGTAAAATTTACTATCGCACGGTGTTATACATATTATATATATAAAAACAAATATTAATATTATTAGTCAAGGAAAGCAGTTTCTATCATTACCATCAGTGCAAATTACAAATACCCAAAATCCCGGTATTATTTGCCAAGAATCCTGGGATTAACATCCCTAATGTATACATACTTGCATATACGAATGTCCAAAGCGCACTCATTGAAATAAATTTATAATTAACAATAACTAAAATGATCATACAAACTTATAACAACTCATATTCGCATATATGTATGTCTGTATGTTCTTGTACTGATATATATATTCATAAATGTCCATATATGTATATGTACATCTGTATGTGTCTTTATGAACCAACAAAATATTGAAATTGAAAAGAAAATTCTTTCGTGGGGCACGTCATGTTTTAGCACTTTGTCATTGAATTTTTAATGGTATGACACATGCACGACTTACATTCGTTAATTTAATTATGAAGTTTTACATAACGTTTTGAGTACCTAAGTGTCAACGACATTGTAGTGCAAATTATTACATATGTACGTTGTTTTGCACTCCTACTACTAATGCAAATTAAAACAAAAAAAAGAATTTGGCGTATTTCAAAGAATTGAATTAAATTACAATATTGAAGAACTTTATTCATTGCTGAAAATGCTATATGCTCTGCGCTAATGCGAAATTTAAGAAAAAACGGATTCGGATTTTTTAAATTTTAATAACTTTTACAAAAAAAAAAAGTATGACAAAATATAAAACTAACTATTAACTATTTATAAAACGACCAATCGCGAGAAAACAAATAAATCTAAACAATTTCGAAAAAAGCTAATAGCTATAACTTCCAAAATAATTCGAATTTCGATAAATTGTGAAATTTGTATTTTTTCTTTTTTTTTTTTAAAATATGATGCAAAGACCATATGGTACTCATAAAATGTGCTGCAATTTGGTTGGTGGCCTTGAACTCTCATTTTCCAAAATTTCCAAAAAAAACATCCTACACTTGCGCAATTTCTTTAGGCCCAAAAAAAACAATGTATTTACAAATTTAGTCTGCAATGCTATCGGCAATATATATATATGCATTAAAAAAGTATTGCATCGATTATCGCTCCACCACCCATAGTTCAATCCCACAAAACAACAGGCATTCATAATTATGCAATTTTTATTAAACTTGCCACGAGAAAGCTATTTTTAACTGCATAAAACAATAATTGATTAGGAATTCTGAGAGAACACCCACAAGCAGTCACTGAAGCTGATACAACAACAAAAATAGAATATTTATTTACAAAAAGAAAAAGCAAAAGTTAAAAGCTGATAAATATTAATCGCGGCGCTTCCAGCGCTAAGACCTTCTTCTTTCGCCAGCCGGCAAACCAGTTGAACGGGAATCGTATGAATTGCTGTGTGTTTACATATGAACATGTATGTATGTATATGTAGATATGTACATGCTTTTATATACATACTTGAATTTAATATTTATTCATTTAAAAACTTATGTATATGTAAATGCATAATACGTAGTTTTAATGAAACTTTTAAAACAAAGATATACATTATCGTATGTGCAATTTTTTCGAAATTAACTTTTTAATGCAAATTCGTTCTACACCCCACAACGCATCCCCTAGTTAAGTATTGTTAAGCTGAAATCCTATATTTACGCTGCAAATTTCCTGTATAATTTATCGTATATTTCAATGCAGTGTTTTCTTGTGGGCGAAATTATCGTTTGTGCCGAAATATTTTGCACCTAGTAAAAACAAAAAGAAGTTAAAATTATTAGATACATTTTAAAGGTATAAAACACGCTCACTTGTATAATTTGCTTTTTGGCACCTACTTACGATAAATGCGCGAAAAGGAGGAAATGTGAAATTAAAATAAGTTTATTTAAAATTTTAATTACAAAGTTTAGTTGTATTTTTTTTTTAAGTTGACTATGTATTTTGCGGGAACGTCTATCTAAAAATTATTCTCTATATTCAAAATTATTAAAACTATTTAATTTTTGCTCAAAAATTAAGAAGAAATTTGTTTATTCATATTAAGGTTTTATTTAATTGGTCGAAAAAATTCGTTAACTCACCAAAATAATTATAAAACTCGAATTCATGAAATTTCGAAAAAGTTGAATTTTCAAAATTTCATAAAATTTTTTTTTTTTATTACATTACGTGTTAGCTTGCATACTAAGTAGCAAAGTAGTACTGGGCAAAAAAGTTTGTCAATTCATAAAACTATTAAAAATTTCGCATTCATAAAAATTCGAAAAAGTTTAGTTTTCAAAATTTGATTAGCATTCATTTTTTACTGCATTATTAGCAGCCCTCATGGAAAACTAGCCCCTCTAATCTAC